TCAGGGATTGCCTTAAATTTGTGTAGAATATCCACGTGTTTCGAGTTCCCAGTTGCTAATGCATCAGGGGTTGCCTTAAATGTGTGTAGAATATCAACGTATTTCGAGATTTGTGTAGAATATCCATGTGTTTCGAGTTCCCAGTTGCTAATTCATCAGGGATTGCCTTAAATTTGTGTAGGATATTCACGTGTTTCGAGTTACCAGTTACTCATGCGTCAGGGATTGCCTTAAATTTGTGCATAATATTATGTTATAGAGCAGTTTTCGTATGACTGCGAAAAGCTCACGGCACGAACACGGTCGTGACACAGCAAGGGATACGCCAGACCAATCACATTGCACGAGAATTCATTCTCTATCCAATCAAATACCCAGAACACGGCATAAACACGGCATAAACACGGCATAAACACGGCATAAACACGGCATAAACACGGCGCGGGCACGGTCACGCCAAAGTCACGGCAGTTTCAGACCAATCACATTGCGCGATAAAAAAATCAGCCAATTAAAATTCTAGAAAACATCAYGGTCACGGCACGGCACTGAGCTTTTCACAGTCATACGAAAACTGCACTTTTAAGATTACGTGTTCTAATGAAGGTGTTTTTAGTGCTGAATTTATGCATTTTTTTATTTTAATGTTGGTATTTGTGAATATTTAGACACTGATTCGAGGGTAACCCGGAGTAAATGAGTAATTAAAAAACACAGCGGTAAGCTGGAACTCGAAACTGGTCTATTACAATTGAAAATATACTTGTGTTGCATCGAGTTTAAAAGGGGAAAATATCAATAATGATTTACATGTTACAATAATGCAATTTATATCCGTCCTTACCTGGTTTAGCTCTTGCAGCTTTAGCTGAAACTAAATAATTTACTGAACGTTAAAAAGAAAACCATGCGTGACTGAATGGAATAACAATTGGGAATATAATTCAAATCTATTAATATTAAACCTGAGGGATCAGCTTCTTTGTGTGATGGAACTATTAACCAATCAAAGGGCGCAACAAACGATATTTACTYGATGTAAAAATTAAAGCAAGTTGCAACACCCAAGTTAAAAGGCACATTTGTCATTACATGCGCAATTTCGTAATTGCGACATTACCATTTTCAAATGAGTTAAGCAGCAATCTTGAATGAGATTTGCACAAGAGATGTGGCGGCGTTTCTCAGTCATGTTACCACTAARTTACTTCACGACAAAAGAAATCTGAAATTCAATAAGTACCTTCCGCACAGATTGCGTTTAAGATCGGTCKGACTCTTATCTGCAAATCCTCTAATGTTGGAACAATGAAGACAGACTTTTCATTTGAAGCAATGTCCGATAACTCTGATTTGGAAACGCCAGGTCCAATACCAAGGGAATAWACCAAGACGCCTTTATCCTTCAGAAGCTGAGATGCTTGTTTTACAGGAGTATAGTCACCCCTGTCTTTTGTTTGTTGTCCGTCGGTTATTACAAGGATGACCTACAACAAAGTACAAGGAAAAAAGGAAAATGCCATAGATTAATCAATCTCGAATAGATATATATATATATTATATTTTTTGTTTTTGTTTGTTAATTT